AACAGGGGACTGCATTTTCAGTTTCAGACGTCAGACAGAAAGAGGAGTCACTTATACTTGTCTTACTATAAATCTGTGGGGTTCATGCTATGCCTCTGTACTCTCTGGATGTGTGGCACACCGAGGGGCTGAGGCAAGTCTGAAGCATGAAGCTAGATCTCTAGCTGAAGCTGGAGGTAGATCTCTTTCACGACTTCGCCAGGGTAAGAATCTTGCCTGTCCTCATTCCAACAGCAGTCAATAGTTGTATGGGTCAAACCAACACAGTGGTAGACAACGTGCCTTTGAATAGTTTAAACATTACGTGGCTTTTCCTCAGACTCCTGAAGGGGAAGAAACAATTCTGGCAGCTCATAAAGTCGGATACAGCCCAGTTGCTAAGGTAACCCAGCTGATAAGAACAGCATACCAATAGACAACAACAGGCACAGGACTCACCTGCCTTTAGATTTTCCCCCCACCAAAGGCAGAGCAGAACCAAAAGCAATAGGCAGGGTGGGGCTCTGCGGAGGAATAGCAATGGTCATCCTTCTAAGCAGCTTGTATGAATGGGATAGGTCTGCCTCAGACATGCACAGAATGAACATGGAGCTTAATGGGTTTTACTGGGTCCCAACTCCAGCAAGACAGGGAGCCCCTGGGGGGAGTCCAGCTGCACCTCTCACTGCTCTACGGCACTCTGCCTTTCACACCCCCACACTCATTTGGTTAGTATCTGTACCGGGCAATGCTTGAGTAAAGGGGTAGTTATAGCTGTATCCCAAAGTTTCAGTGCCAGAATTTGCTGTAGATTAGTGAACAAGCCTTTCAGTCGCAGAGAGCCAGTATAGCAGAAGACACTGGGAGCTGGAAATCCCAGGAACCTGCTCAGCAAGGTACTTCCCCTCACAAGAAACATCCAGAATAGTATTAGTGAGTTTTAAGTGATTGAATCAAAAGTGAGGTAAATGCCAGCATGTCATTGGATGTTTCTAAGCCAACTTGGCTTAGAATGTGATAAAAGTTAGGACAAAACCAACCCCGTTGTAGTCGGATAATCCTGTAACTGCCTTTTGCAGGGATTCCTGTGTCTTCCTTTAAGGCACTGACAGGTTTCTGTTGAGATCTAGTACGTCAGTTCCCATTTTCCTGCATGCTAACAAGCTGAGGTGGACATGGACATCTGCAAAAAGGATATTTTTGACATCTAAATAAAGTTTTGTGGTGAAAACCTGCCCTGGTTGAAGTCGACAGCAGAGCTCCCAAGGAAAGCCATGGGGGCAGAACTTCAGGATGGCTGCAGCGAGGGTTTCTGGTGGCTGTGGTTTCACCAGGGCTGCAGTGCATGTTTCAGCCATGACGCTCTATGAACGCCTGATAACACAATAATCCCTGCCTCTCCTTGTACCTTGGGAAGTACCTTTTATGAGAAATCAAAGTCCTAAAATGTTTGATAACAAAACCTGCCCAGGCAGAGGTGTATGGGGAGCGGATTTCCATTACACAGAAGAGCTAATTTCAGGTGCCTCTCTTGACTGAAACTGAGACTGTGTTAAAAAAAGGAAAAAACAGGAAAAAAAGTAAGTTTTTTTGTACACTAGAGTGAAATCCCTGGAGACTATTTGCGGGGAACCAAGATGGACTACTTAAAAAATTCAGAGCTAAAAGTAAGCCAGATAGACTGCCTGCTTGCTAGAGTCCAGGTTAGGAGCTGACTACCAACAGTGTTGCTGCTTTGAATTAGCAGTTCCAGTGGGGAAAATTATGGATCACACCGCTCTGCTAAACTCCTCTTCTGAGGTATTTTTAAGTGCGGTCATAGCTAGATGACTATTAATGCCTGAGTTAGTTAGTTCACCCCTTGCCTAGTGTATTTACAGGGGATGCAAGTCTGCCTTTGGATCATGCCAACACAATGACCTCTAGTTCTGACAAAGTTATGGAAAAGACTTGAGCATATTGTGTTGAGAAGACACTAAACGTAATTTTTAAAATCAACTCTAGCCATTGATGAATAATATATGGGACCTTAATGAGTAACATAAAGATAGTTTATGCCTCTTGCTTTGCTAGAAAAGTGTAAAATGGCCTTAGAGGAAAAGAGAATAAGACCTTGAATTTGAAATTCTTTGCTGTAAAAGGGAAAGTGCTTTACCAGTAATATTAATATTTTGAGAAACAATATTACATAAAAAGGTAGGAAAGATTAGTCAGCCGGTGAGTAGAGGTCATTATTTTGTCTGACAGGAAGTCCAGAGCTCTATTGATCGACCTCCTGAAAACAGAGTATTTGTGGATAGCAGCAAGCTAAAACATTGTTTTCTTTCTCAGTACCAAGCAATTGCACGCTGCATTTAAAAACAGACTCTATCTACACGTAAACAGGTTTATGAGGCTGTGAGGTATCTTAAGCCCAGGCAGAACTCCTTTTACAATTTAAAATATCTGAGATGGGAATAGAACATGTTTTGGAGCTCAGCCCAATGTTTTAGTCAGCAGCCCACAGGACTTCCCTGGTAGCTGCTCCTCATCACTATCTCCCCTAAAAATCAGCTGCATGCAAATGGTTAAGTCAGTAGAAAGCCAAGGTTCCCTTCTCACCAGTGTAAACAGATAAGTATTTAGCTCTGGCACTGGACTACTGATAAATCTTTTCATTACCCAACCCATCAGTCTTCCTAATCCAGAAAATGGAAATAATGACAGTGATTTTTAAAAAGCTCTTTTTAACAATACATCTGCACTGATGTGTATTTGCAGTTTAAGAATGAAGTGTTACAATTTTCGTGGTCTCTCTCAAATTGAAGGGGCGAGCCATGGTTGGTCAAAAGCCTCCATGTTGACTATAGCAGTGTCAGTGAAGATGAAGACCTCCAAGTGGAAAATAGATTTATGCTAAAAAAGAAATGCTCTTAAAATGAAATCACTTAATAGCAAGAACTCTAAATTGAAGGCTGTGAGATGGGTGGGAAGCAGGTAGAAAGGTATGTACTTTCTTTCTAGGGGGCTTAAGTATGCTGCCATTGACTTTAATAGCACTGATGAAGTTGACTTCAGGTATGAAATCTGGGCCGTCTAAGTTTTAGGTAGTAATCTGGTTTTGTCACCTTTCAATTGGCTGGGAGCTCTTTATATGGTCCAGCTACAGGTCAGGAGCCATTACAACCCAACCAGAATAGCACCAGCTTGTGCCTGTACAGCAAGTGAGGTTTGTTGGTGTTTACAATTAAAGGACATGGGGCACTCATGGAAGTACGCTGGCAAATTTATCAGTAGAAATCCAAGATGCTAGCAACCACCATCGATGTAATCCCCCCAACCCTTGGCCATAAAGCCCTGCCCCTGAACTGAATGCTTGAGTACACCTCAGGTCTCTTTAGCATGAAATACTTCACCAGCTCTTTAAGACATGCCACCCATGCTGGTGGGTCAAATCAAAGCCACAAGACTGCAAGTGGAAGCAGCTAAGCACGCAAATATAGTCTGTGTATAACACTACAAACTGCTACGCATATTGGCCAAGCAACTGTGTTAGGCCTACATACCCACGGGCTTGGGCTCTGTTGCCCTGCAAGCAACATAGGGATGGAAGGGACGTGTGAGTACTAGTTACAAGGCTGGTGTCACTGGCCCCAGTGCACAAAGCGCAGAAAACAAAAATTCCCAATTATGTAAGAAAACTCCTGGGTTTAAATTAAAAAATTACACCACCAGCCGCTCCCTATATTTCTTATATTCTCTTCAGTCTAGCCTTCATTCTTAGAGAACATTTCCTTCTGAAAAAAAAACCAACAAAACAACCCCCTTGATCCTCCTGTAGTACTTTATGGAAAGGAAATCTCCAGTAGGGTATCTTCTCTGCCATAACATTAACTATATTCCTTAACTTGCTGAGAATAGTATGGGTAATAAAAATCAAAATGAGACAGACAAATGTCAGCCAGGCAAAAATGTCAAAAGATTGATTTCTGTAACCCATTTCTCTATTCCGCGAAAGGATCCAGGCCCTTGTGGTGCTTGATGTTTGACTACATGGTAAGATATGTAACTTTTGAATTTAAAGTGGTAAGTCTTAGGAAAATAGAAAACCTTCCCCATTAAAGCTGAGGCAGCACTACATCTGTAACAAATTTAAGGCATGTAAGGACAAAAAAGAACAAGGTGTTCTAAAATGTACCTCTGTGGACATGTGTAATGCCCCACAGGAACTAGGTATCACATTAGCTCGCTGCTGACATAAATGCATGGAATGTTTTTGGGTGTGGCATTACGTGTCTCAAAAGAAATTGGTTACTGGGGCATCCAGTATATTTCTGAAGTGGTTGGATTCCCCTTCCACCTCTCCCTATCTATTTACAGTTCCCTTTCAAGTACAAAAAACATTTTCTGTAACCTCAGCTTCCTGATTCAGCTGTTGTGATGTCAGTTATTTACGATAACAAAAGTGAGACAACGCCTGTGGTTTGCGTGGGACAAAGGCAACCTTGTTTCTGTAAAAAGGGACAATCCTAGTGTGAGAAGCACAGGAAAGCCTACAAAGCAGGACTCTGAGGTGATATTTCATTAGTCCCGCCATGTTCATAACAGTGGGCTTGACACTGCATTATCTCAAAGGCCACTGACAGGGTTTTTTTTCCTTTCCATAGGACTGGACACTAATGTGAATGTAGCTCTTTGAAAACTACCTCTTTGCAGGACAAGGCTTTGGAGATAGGTATCTTGGGAAACAAATGGATTGCTAGTGGGTAGAGAGGTAATGAGTGTCAGGACACAAATGTTTCAATACCAATTACGCATTCTGTGGTCACAAGCAAGTCACTCTGCACCTCTGCTTACCTGCCATGAAACTGCTTTAATCATATTTAACTGTCTAAACCACAGCTGTGGTGAAACCTGCAGAATGCCAGTAAACTCCTGAGGTCACAGAGTAGCAAAAGGAAATGAGAAGCTCTTAATAGACAGCATGGTTAGTTATGAATGAAGAGTGTCAGCTCTGGTATAGCCTAGAGAATGTCACTTACCTGCTATTCTTCCAATTGGCATTGCATGGTCCTCAGGAGGGGATACAGACACCATGATGTGGTTCATATAAGCTAACTCTTCTCGGTGGGACAGGTTGATTGGCTTTACCTCCCTGTGCAGCCCATCCTCAGACAACCTTGGTGGTTTGAAATCGGAGTGCCTGGGGTTCAGTATCAAAGGATGCATGATAGGGCTGGGCATCAGCTGAATAACCCTGGTGTTCTCCTGGCGAGGGCTGGAGGGCTTCTGGAGCACCTCAGAAGGAGGCGGGCAGTGGTTGTTTTCTATCGGGGACACTGAGAGAGGATAGGGCTCCTGGTGGTTGTTCTCTTGCTGATGCCTTGTTCCTGGCACCCTGTCAGCTGGGGAGAGGCGACGGATAGTGTTGTCCATAGGGGACTTCAGTGGCCGCTGATCGGGATCTGGTGATGGACGGTGGTTGTTGGTGATGGGTGATCTAGAACGATGCAACAGTTCAATGGTTGGGGGGTTGTGGTGGACTGTTTCTGTGGATGGTCTTGAAGGTCTCTGGACAAAGCTATCTGTGGAGAAAAAAAAAATCCAAAACAAAAAATACAGATTGTCTATATTGTGATCAAGGTGTAGGATCTGACTGTCAAACTGCTAGCTGGGCTTACTGGGTACTTCTGTCAGCTTGGAAATGTTTTTATTTGTGTGACCTACAAATGCCCAGGAAAACGCCATAGAAATGCAGATAGATATTACTACACAGAAAGAAATCAGTACCGTGAAAACAATCTCCCTCCACCACCACGTAACGGTAGTTCCTGAGGAAACTTGTTAAGAAAAAATGCCATTTTGAGAACCTGACTGGAACACACGTGAAGAAAGTAAGATCTGATTCAGCTGTACCAACTGTGTTTCTGTGCAAATGCTTTGAAACTTCTCTCCTGCCATTCATGTCTCTACATGTGGTTCCTGTTATTGTACCATGATGAGCACTGTAAGGGAGAGGGCAGAGATAAAAAGGAAAAATGTCTCCAGGAAAATACTGTGTAGTAAGTTTTAGATGGTAGAGGCTTGCATCAAGGTAGAGAATATCTTAGTCTGAAACACAGACTGGGGTATCTAAAAAACCCCACTGCTAGGAAGCTCTTTGCGAAAAACTAGCTAAATTTTATCCCTGCCTTGATTTTAAGAGCATGTAACATCTTCCTAGGAGTATTTTCACCTTGTTTTGTTTAGTCTGTGCTGTCTATTGATGGGATGTCCCATATAAGCACTTACATTTCTTCAGCAGAAGGACTTCTAGCATCGCTTTTGCATGAGCATGCTTCCCCAGCTGTGTTCCTTAACAGTAGGGGGGAGATAAATCACAGCTCTAGGTCAGTGTCTTTACATACTAACAATCCTCTCACAAAATGAAATGCTTGACGTAAATAGTGCAAACTTTCAGCTTAGCTAAGGCCATCAATTTTGACTTGGGAAATTACTGACAAAGAGGAAAATACCACCAGAGTGCAGTGACTAACAGGTTTTTATCCAAAAAACAAAGATCAAATTTCAGTGCTGTTTGTTGAAAGCCTTGGACGATAAGAGAAGGAAACTGCTGGGTACATGTCAACAACTGAAACAAGTAGCTGCCTATTTGTGGCTGCCTGTTTGTTCACTCCATTTGCTCTGATCCTCTTTAACAATTCTCTTGCTTTCTTGTCAAGGCAGTGATACTTGTTGAAGGCCCTGTCGAGGTGAAGACTCAGGCAGACATCAGGAAAGACATCAGCACTTACCCAGGTAAAGGCCTGAACAGGAAAAGCTCTGGTCCTGAGAAAATGTAGTGCCAGGCAGTGACGTAGCACCAATGCCTTTGCCTACTCAGTGGACTGTTCATCTATACAAGGACACTAAAGTCTACAGGAAAACCTAAAATTTTAGGCAGAAACCATATGGCTCCAGAACACTTATTTCACACACTTGTGGTCCCAGACAAGAAAAATGCATTCATAGAGCTATTTAAGGTACTCACAATGAAACAGCTGGAGGACATAAAACTCCAGAGCTTTGTATTGTTCTTGTTTAAACCCAAACAGCTTTAAATACTAATGTGGCCAGCTAATGCGGGATAGCCCGAATGATGCAAAGATCAAAGAGGAATTAATTTACAACTGTACCTACCTCTGTGGGTGCCTTTTCTTAAAGTCTCCTTTCTTTACCACAACAGAAATTAAACCAATCCCCCAATTTTACTCAGCGCCCTATCTTCTACAGACTGTCCACTCCCATCACTGTACATTCAAACGCACTGTGCTCATTCTTGGCCTGTAAATACAGACCAGAATATTGTATTGTTTGTCCTATTATTTAAAGTGCCTTGGCTGTGGGGAGCAGCTATCCAGAAAGGAATGCCTTGCTGTGCTTTCCACCAAGCTCTCTGTAAACGTTAGTTGGTTCTGACAAGCTCCAAACAGAAGCAGACCTATCTGTCTGCTCCCAAACCATGCTGATCCTGAACCAGGACACGGTGAAAAGAACGTAGGGACCAAGGAACTCTTTACAATGCAGCAAGAGAAAAAAACACAAATGGATACATGCTAGCGTTCACTTTCCTCCAAGATCTTTCTCTTTAAATACTTAACTAAAGAATCCCCTCATGGCTGAAGTTGTTGTTTACCATAAAACAATTTAAACTCAGCTCCAAGCAGTTCCACTGCCACAATGACCCTGAACAAAATAAAATCCTCATCACATTCATTCCTTGGCACATCTGATGAGTTGAGCACATATAGTATATAATTTCCTGCAGGAACAGATTCACTCATCAGTCTGGCTCTTCATTCTGAATGACCAACACTCTTTTCTTGATGGGAAAGCTGTGAAAGGGAATTCAGCTCCCAGGAAAACTGCTGACCTATCTGATCCATATAGGGATGGGTGGGGCTGCACTCAATCTGGGAGTGAGCAATTGCTGGTGTGATGATCCCAAAGATTGGCACTCTTTGCTTACCCATAAAAGAAGTGCAAGGAATGACAGTGTAAGCTTCCTGTATGGCATCCCATCAAATGACTCAGTGCTTGAGTCAGAAGGACCACTGGACATGTAGGTAATCTACTCTCCATTGCTCATCCCTCTAGAGGGACAGAGACTGATGCCCACAAGGCAGATTCCAAGCCAATGCCAATGCATCTTGGAGATATCTTGAACCACTGCCCACAGATTTCAGTCCTTGCTTAAGCTAGGAAAAAGCCACTAGATGTAAATATTGGTCCCATCTGATTCTGGAAGCATTTAGAAGCAGGATTGTTAAGTATATAATCTATTAAGAAATGGGCAAAAGAGGCAGTAGAAGAAAATGGAACAAGATGACTGGAGTAAGGAGGGATTCTAAAAAAGATCTATCACCTATGAAGTTTAATCACTCAGAATTGTGCCGAAGTAACAGCTGACCCCTCTGTTACAGCTTGTGAGGCAGGCAGGGTTAATTTCTATTTCTCACATTCATTCTCCTTTTTTTACTAATTTGCATTCTACTGAGGGAAAATGGTAAACTTAATTGTGCTAGTTTCTCCCAAGTGACTCTGTGAAACAGAAAGAAGAAAGAAGGAATGTTGAAATACATAAATAAATAAATTCACCTGCCTATAAATTCTTGGCATAGGGATTTTCTCATTGCTCAGAGACTTGTGGCAGGCAAGCTGTAGTTTCTTTTGCTTGTTTCAAAGTTCCTCTCACAGCAAAACAAGAGCTAATTTTTGTCATTATAAAGAAAAGTTTTAAGTAATAGCACAGAGTTCTCTAAGCAAAACCAGTGGTACTATCAGCATCCAGAGTACCGTGAGGAAGAAATCAAAGTTGTTTCTTAATCATCCTGTGCTCTAACAGAAGTTGGACTAGATTGCAAAGAACTTAGGTTTTAAGTGACCCACATGAAAGGCCAACTCAACATCCCTGTGAAATCCTCTCTAGAATGAAAGCTGCTCCATATCTTTCATGGAGGGGTGTCTGAGAAGGCAGCTAGTATTTCTGTTTGAAATTCAGAAAGGGAACACTTGTGGGTGAACGCCAAGCTTCAGGAAAAAATGGAGATTTTAATAATGGTCTTTGCAAAGTGCCTACCTTAATACACTAGGTGACTGTTTCTTGCACAACTCTGCCAACTCAACCACATCCTGACCTGTAGCACCTTCTTCTAATCTGAAATATTTATACAGCTGTGTGGAAACACTTTGGAGTGTCCTTATCCCACCTGCTGCTGTCCTGCTTTTGGCTTAGTCTCAGAGTTTCACTCATGCCCTTTGATTCTGGCTTGCTCAGGCTGACCATGGGCAACTTGTACAGGTCTGAATCTTCTTCTGCAATCCCATGATGAATCTTGAAATGATCTTTTCTCCAGTTAGCAGAGACTAGGGCGATATCTTAACTCACTTCTGTTCTCCCATTTACTTAAAAAAGGAATACAGTACTTTTTCCTAGATTTTTTTTTTAATTGACAAAGTGAATTCTGCCTGATACTTTCACAGAAAGGACCTTTCAAAAAGCTTAAGCTTTATATTTTTCTGTTATTGGAGAAAACCAGGAAGTACTTTAGTGTGTATATTTTTAAAGAAAATAAATCATCAATTTTCCATTGAAGGAAGCAGACTTACATTTTGATCTGTACTAATAACGAGTAGAAGAAGTTCGAATCTGCAATTTCACAAACATATCTATTCTTTCTTCACCACCTCTGACAGACATGGTATGTGTGGACACTATTAGAAAGCTAACTAATAACCTAAGCAAGTAATTCTGATAGTAAAAATGAGAGAAAACCTGCAGAAACAAACTTCTCTCAGCATGAATTGCTCAATTAGCTCAAAAGCTGAGCAACATGATGGGCTCAGTGCTAGGAACTCTGGCATGATGTGATGACAAATTGTCAGTTGAAGTGACTTTGACTTAGATGTTTCCCTCTGAGGCTGCCTTCTCCCTTGCTCTGCAAACAATTGCATCTAGTTGCATCTCCAGGATACTAGAAGTCCATGAAGCATCTTTGCCTACCTAATTGGGAGCGAGGAAAAATGAATCAATGGGTCAATAAAAGTTTCTGATATTTTTTTAATCTACATGTGGCATAGCTTTTAAGCAGGCTTTGGAAACAGGACAATATAATAGAAGATAAATGGAGAATGGACAGTTGACTCCCTAGACCAGTTCACTATTCTGAAGCTATGGAGACGAAGGGAGGAGAGTAGCTTTATTTAAGTAACTCTGGAGCAAGAAAATGACATAATTCCTCACAGCCTTACCCTACTCGGCTCTATAATGGCAGCTCCCATAAGAATGAGACAGAGTTACCTTCATCATGATTCTGGTGTAATATGACCTCTGGCTGAGCATGGATGGAGTTCCCAGGGTGGAAGAAAGGTGTGAAGAGCATACGAGCTTTCCTTTGCTTCAGGATATGCTGAAGGAGTTCATACAAAACATCACCTGAAAGACAAACAGCAGGAAAAAGGAAATTAAAACCTACATACTGCTGAGAAGACTCATTTAGCCATCTGATGCATGAATTCATGGCTCCTTGGTGCTATTTTGAGACCCCAAAATGCTTGCAGTAAAACCCTACATTTCACTGTTTTGCAAGGTTCTTCCCTGAAAGGAAAAAAAAGAAAAACAAAAGCTGCACATCACGCCTCTGTGTGTGACTGTGGAAAATGTGAGAATGACAAGACATTGCTTTTATTACCCCAATACAGAGTTTTTCAAGCTACATCACTGCCCATCCAAGAGCTCCAAACCTTTACAAGCAGAACTTAGTTTAGTGTCCCATCCTCTCACAGCCCCAGTGAGACACCTCTCTCAGACACCCTAGGACACAGAATTCTCAAATGTAGAGCCCATGATTTATGCAGTGAGTTTCTGGGAGCAAAGATGGTGCTCTTCTTTAATTACTGAACAAATCCGGCTTTGCAGAGGGAGGAGACAGAAGATGCTGTAAAGCCTCTCCATGCAACACCAGTGACTCAAGGCCAGTGGAGGTGTGCTACTAAGCTAGTCCATTCTAGGAAACCCACAGGAAGAAGAAAAGAACTCTCACTTTGATTAGTTACTTTGGGATTGACTCAAAGACTTGAAATGAATTGAGAGATTTAACTATTTTGAACACTTTTGCTGTGTTGACAGCTCCTGGAGATACTTGAGTGCTACAGGTACCTTAGGAACTTCGGTATGTCGCTCTTTGTGTCATGGGTTGGACTTCTGAAAAGCCCAAACGGGATCCCAAAGCTAGTTATTTCTAGCTACTAGAATCTGTATGGAGCTCACTTAAACAGGCAGTATCAGAGCATAGATATGACACAGACTAAGGAGCAAAATGCAGTGGACTTGGTGTACTGTATGGGTGAACATAGTCTGTTGAGTTGCTATTATATCACTCTCCCACAGAAGTTTCTGCAATGAATTTCACTGCACTAAGCTGACATGTTCTTGCATGAACTGATCCAGATGCTTGTTTCTTCTTGGGCTACCGGCAGGCTGTTCCTCACTTCTCCCCCCATGCCCTGGAACCAGAATTGCTATATCTTTCCTCAGTGGAACATATCACCACAATATCTAGGAGACGAATGGACTAACCACTCATTTTGTGTCTTTTCATGTATTACAGTCTTGTACTGATGCCCTTTCTTCAACAGCATCTACATGAAATGCCTAAGTACTTATGCGTTTTGTCTGATGTAAGTGGTTGTGCATTTCCAAGTGAAAACGTACAACACAGGGTAGGAAGTCTCTCGACTTTTAATTCTGCCCGCTCTCTTCTGTTTGTCTCTGCTTATATCACAGAGGAACAGGTTGCAGCAATAACATTATCTGAGAAGGAACTTAGTGAAGTTTCACGTAGGAAACCTTGGATTTTCTGGGAGAGTCTTCTCAAGTGTGGGGGTTTTTTTAGTAGTTGTTTCTATGAGATTGTAAGCTGTGCACCATTTGTCCCTTGTCTCTATAAAATGCCAATGCTCTATTTGTGGGCAAGTTTAGTGTCTTAGCGTGAAACAGTTAAATCCATCCTGCTTTCTATAGTTCAGCTTCCTTTATTTTTAGCATCTTGGCTGCTTTTACTGTCTCAGCAGTGACTTTAGGGCATTTTTAAAAGGTGATTGCAATACCTGAAAATCTAATTAAAAACAAAGCCTCGAGAACCCAGTTACCTTTTCCATGTTTAGTACATGAAAGGCTAAAAAGTGATTTTACCACATAATTTGCATCTTTGAATGCAATAGTGGCATAATCATAACCAGTGCTCTAACACTCCAAGCAATAAGGTAGCAAATTTGTACCTCTTTTGATTTGGCCTAACAGACTAGTGAAAACGTCCATAAAGCTGACTGTCTTTTTTTTTACCTACCAAAACAGTGACGCTTCTGCACCACCCAGGTGCAGTAATGCTAGTTAAGAAGGTGAAAAGCATTTTTCCCTCTCTCCCTCCTCTGTTGCCTCCCTGCCCTGGTCAGCCCTAAATAGAAGAACAGCTGTGGGGCTATGAGCCCACTTTATTTCTAGGACCACTGTGGGGAGTGGATGTGGCTCTCCTGGTTCATCCATGAGGGGAAAGGATACAGCTTTTATGGGAGCTACAACCTTGAAAAACTTAATGCCTGTACGGCAAACGTTATTTCATAGTTCTTAAATTTCACGTATAGTTAATTTCTGGGAAATGTTGAGGTAATGTCCCTTTGCCTACAGTCATCTAAATTTTTAGGGACTGACTCAGATATCCTCTAAAAGGTTTATTATCAGTAGGTAATACCTGGAGAGAAGGAGGAGGGAAAAAACAAGGGAGGAGGCCTTTAGTTTGGTTATTTCATTCCAAATTTAGGTAAATAAGAGCTTAACCTTCTGCATAAAGTGCGGATTTGCAAGCCAGAGGCTGCTGTTCTCTGGGAATGCTCTATTTCCAGCCTACAAACATTTAAATCCTACTCATTTCAAGTGCCCTCACAGCACACAAGGGGAAGAGTAGGGACATAACTTGAAGGCAGCAAGGCATTGGGATGACAAGGGGAGCTGCATACAAGATACATAAAGGTGTCCCTTACAGTCCTTGCCCACATCTCCACTTTCAATACTCCTTTTACCTTAAGCAGGGCTATTTTTTTTAATGAAACGATTCAATGTGGTGTACCAGAATTAAAAGAAGGATGTTTCTAGGCATCAGTTTTCACTACTGTATTGCACTGGCAGTAGACATTAACATTTAGCATCTCCTTCCATACAAAATTAGGCCTGGATTTGAAGCACGTGCTTAAAAAAACTTTGTATACGCTAAACATAAGCCACAGTCTGTGAGGCAGATTCTGCAGAAGGATGGTTGTGGGGGTGCATTCAAGGGAATCGCCAAGCAGCTTGATGCAGAATTAGTGCCATGGCTTGTTTATCAGCTGGATTCAAGCAGCACCAGCTGTACTTCTGCACCTAGTGAGCCTTGCACTGGAAGCCTCCTCGCTGCAATTCTGTCACCACTTGGTCCAAACTCTTTGATCACCTATGGTGATTGAATTATGAGCCTTTATATTTAACAGGAGTACCTTGTATGGTCACAAAACAAAAGCTCACAACTCATACTTTGTTAAACATCCCTGACAAAGGAGGACAGAGGCTTACTCTGACTGTAAAACTGGAGCAGACAGACCGCAGGGGATATAAATATAGGCAGGCAACATACACATTTCTAAATCTTCTTTGTGAATAAATGAAGACATAATTTGAGCAATAGGCTGACTGACTCACACACCTGTCTGTGCTGTGTCTCGGGCTGGACTCCAGCACGTGAGAGAATATGGTAAAGTAAAGCAAAGCCCACAGGGGCTGTTAAATAGAGGAAAGGTCCCCCAGGGAGGAGTTTTGCAGTCACTTTTAGCAGCACATCAGCCAAGCCAACTGTGAGGCAAAATGCTAATATGGGCTTCTTAAAGAGGCTGGAGCACTTGATTGACTTGCTGCTGTAGTTGGGTCTGTGAAAAGATAAGCCTTTACAGGGAAGAGCTGGAAGTCACAAAGTGCTGCCAGAGAAGCTTGCTTTCTGGGCATTCTGCAGGGAGTTTTAACTAGAAACAGGTTGGATGTTTGGGTTTGGATTTGCATTCAAATTTGCCTCAGGTGTATCAGGATTTCATTCCTTCCTTGTCCTTTTTGTCCTTGCCTCATACATGTGACTCTGTCCTCCCTCTCCTCCCCTTGCTCAGTCCACCCCAACAAATGTGAAAGTTCCCTCCTCTGACCCTCTCCAGATCTCATGGCAGCTTCCTCTCTCTTTTCAGTCATAGCTTCTGTAAATAATCCTCACCTGAATGAGGAGACCTGTATCGAAAGTCCTCTTTGGTCAGGAGCAGCAGAGCCTTGCCGTTCATCTCAAAAGTGTTGCTCTCAATCGGCCTCAAGGAAAACTCCTTCTCTGCCCACCTGAGCCACTGGGCCACATCCTCCCTGCTCCAGTACACGGGCTGCAAACCTGTGGCAGGAAGAGACCATGAGTGTGTTACTAAATTGAGACGAGGCATGGGAATACAGGCAAACATCAGTGAATCCCCCTTTTTCTCCCCACCATGATGTGTGAATTCTCAGGGGAACGTGTAGAAGAGCAATGTCACGTTGATGTAGAATTACTCTAAGCACTGGACTGTGAAATACTTCATTAGTTTAGGCATCTTGGTTTACCTGTGACATACTGAGAAACATGAACTGCCTCAGCATCCTGAAAAAAGGCTTCTAGGACATTATTTCATTCCAGGTTTCCACTGTGAAATGGGATTTTCCTGCAGCTGCTCCTTCTGAGGTGCAGAGAAGGCAGGAGGCAAAGTCCTTGGCCCCATCCATCCTTAGTGTGTACCCTTCCATAGAAGAGAGGCGTGCTCTCTCTTCATGCCCCTTGTGAAGTCATCAATCACGAATAATGAACAGTAGTCAGATGCAAGAGAGCTACAGCTGTACTTCCCTCTAGGTGGCTGGGGCCTGTCAAAAAGGGCTGCTTAACACAACGTCTGTAACAGCGTGTCTGTAAGTGGTTATCAGCGCAGGTATGGTTGAGAAAGGTGTATTCAGACTGGCCCACTCCTCCTGCAGATGCCATTACTCTAGCAGATGCTATTCCCACACTGGAGAGGAAAGTAAGTGCTGAGGCTGTGGCACCTTTAGCACTGCTTTAGTTTGTGCTTCCTGTATAGTGACAAAATATTACCAATGGAATTCTGTCCATATAGGGGTGGTATGACATGTTATAGTAAAATAGCAGGTAGTTTGGTTTGGGCACAGATTTTCCCGGGCTCCAAGGAGAACCTGGCACTCCCTTTCTCCCAGCCAGCTCATACAGCATATATAGCCTAGCGTACTGTGTTTACTCACAGGGGCCCAACCAAGTTACCATGAAAGTCAAAGACCTTTTGCCTGCTACTTTTATTGGGCCCAGGCAGAGAGGCTTGGGAGGTGTGACAATTCAGTATCTGTTTTACAGACAAATTTAAAATAGCTTCCTTCCTCTCTAGAGAAGGCAGCACAGGCGAGAGCTGTTTATACGCAGGTAGAGAGATTATCTCCAGTCCACTGGGAGATAAAAGCTTTCTTTCCTTTTCCCCCTTGTGAGATGACTCATTGTTTGACTTGCTACAATGTGCTGCGCAGAAATGAAAGCTTCACACTGTGCATAGGAACATAAAATTTGCCGTATCTGATCAGATCTCTGGTACACAGCCTCCGGCAGGGGCTAATACCTTATGCTTCAGAGGAAGACGAACCTCCCTTCCTCATATTGCACCTGGCTGATTGTAAGCTGCGCATGGGAAGAAATTTCCTTCCTGGCACACCGTTCTCTGAGATCTGATTACCCTCCTCCTACCAAGCACGAAAAGAACCTGGGAGAGTTGTACCACTCTGTTTTGGTTTGGTTTTTAATTCTTTAACAGATAGGCAACCCTTTTTTTCTGTTTTAGCAAGAAGTCACATGCAGTGAATTGCTTTCTGCTGCTATGCCAGATTCCCAGACAGCAGCTTTGGAAAGTCCCAGAGCCACAGCTGCATACAGAACTGAATCTCAGTCAGAAAAGGAATTGAGATCGAGCCTGAGAAAGGGTCAGAGCTGACCTAAGAAGGGATGTCTGCATGGTAGCAGCAAGAATTTCCATTGGCTTTCAACTGCCCCTGTAGCACTGTATTATGTACCACACAGAAACAAGAAGTAGCATTTATTATTTGTGAAGGACTTAAATTCTCTTCCCCCTATTGAATCAGGGTCTGATCACTGGGGTCAGAATTTTCTGCAGGACCTTTCTTTTTGAAGGGATGGGGGTGAGGTGTAGATCTGCTCAGAGACACGAAAACCATCATCTAAAATGCCAGAGTGAGGTTCATCTTTTGCTGAATACAGCACTATTCCTCCAGAAAACACACTCCAGACCGCAGGCTGCTGCTGGGCAGCATGCACCTTGACTGCAGCTAAAGAGAAAGAAGTCAGACGTGATGCAGCCAGACCACAACTTATGAAAGGGTTAAAAAGACCATCAGAAGAGTGCTTGAAATGCTCATGCGTCGTTTCTTTTGCTTTCCCCTTTGCCATACCATGCAAATACTAAATTGCCCAAAGGAGCCCGATCATGTGGAAATCTAACTGGACTTCTGATGTGCACTTCACAAGATGAGGCATGAAACAAAACAAAACATCACTGGGAAAATCAGGCCGACATGGACAGGGCTATATGATAACCCCACATGAGATGCGTGCTCCCTTATAGATAACAACATAATAAATAAATCACTCCCTGTACAAACATAGCTCAACGTTTCCCATGTGCTGATGACCTCTGTTCAACTAATACAAAAGTACCATGTCAAAAGAGAGGTTTAGATTGATCGGCGCTAGACCCAGAACAGCCAAATAAGCTACACAGACTGGGACAAGCCATGTGTGCTGTGCTGAAACAGACCCAGTGCTTCACACTGCAAATCAGGCCTGTGCTGGGTTTCAGCAGCATCTCCAAAGCTTGTGAGAAAAGCCCCAAAGTAGTAGTATGACCCAGGACTGCTTGGCTTCTAGTTACTGAGAATCAGCAAGCAGCCTTTCTAATTCAGTCTGGTGATCGCTAAAATGAGTGGGTGGATGTGCCACATCCCTCCACCCCATGGCGTGATACCATAATTAAATACTTACATTATGTTTGCAAGGTAGAAAGCACCATAAAATGAGTTAACTGCTTTTCCCTAGATGGATTGCCTCTTCTCTCATTTCCCTCCCTCCCTGCCCTGCTGCTTTCCTTGGAAGTTAGTTTCTCCAAAAAACCCTCCTTAGCTGCCTGCCTCCACTGCATGCCCGTTTGTTTTGTGAAGCTGAACCAGTTCAGTCGCAGGAGTCTTTTCAGGGGTGCAGACTGGTGTTGCTGAAAGTGCTTCAGAAACCGCTGTTCAAAAAATAATTCTTTCATGTGCAGTACAGCACTTACTAAACTCGTACCCCACCTTCTTTGCCCTTTCTTAAAAAGAAGCAGTCGGTTTTGTGAAAACAAGGGCATGAGAGGGTTGGCTTTGCAGCTGAAGGGATTTTACAGCACAGCATACATAGCTATCAGTAGGTCCTGAAAATGCTTTTCTATACTCTCCATGAAAGAAAAAACTAATCCCGCTTATACAATTTTTCGGTTTTGGATGCTGTTTCTTACTTTCCCCTCTCCAGCTTCTCTTTTATTGTCATGCCCATGGTGGAGGAAAACGGGCTCTTTTTATCTCTCCAGTTTTATTCTCTGTGAAAGCTAACAGCATTGTCTTCAACTAACAAAGATATTTACCAAGCAGAATAAAGTGAGGAAAATGAGTGCTGTGTTACAAAATGAGGACAGAGTTTTGCCTACTGAACTGACTGTTGAAATCAGTGGGAAGGCTTTGTTGCTTTCAGTAGGTGTGGATCAGACACGGGGCATGCTGCCTTTCCCCTGATCTGCCCTTTCGGTGGCCAGCGTCGCCACAGGCTTCAGAGGGTGAATTTTCACCTAGGAGTTGGACCTGGCTCTGCTCCCACCTCTGCCATTGCTCCGCTGGCTGAAATCTGGCAAGCATTCCCAACCTCGGTCTCCCTATCTGCGTAGTGTAAAAATAAACAACAAAAAAACCTTCTTGAACTCAATAGCTGAAAGCAAGTTAGACGAAGCCATTTAAACCATCAGAATCCAGCTCTGCAAGATCCATCGTATTCTCTAGTCTGTCTTCTGCGAGCTTCCAAGCACCACCACCAGCAAAGTAAAATACAATAATTTATAGACACGTTTATAATCTGACAGCTTCATATGCACTAAACAGCGAACAACATTCATACTCATCTTTCTAGTGCCACAGGCTGGAGCACTGGTGTCTTAATAGATTATCTATTTCTGTTGCTTATCCCTCACCTGAAGTCCTGTTTCTAACACCTGTTACAGTAGCTACCTTATAAAGGGTGAGAGTGATCAATTCTCATGCTCCAGGGCACAACCTGATAACCACCTGGACTGCAGAAGAAATCCACTCTCTGTTCCTTTCTATTCTTGCACAGCACAAACAAGTACAATGAAGAGGGGCCGATGGGGTAATTTACACTTTCTTCTTCAAGTAAAACTGTTTACATATGTTCAGGCACTTACACACATACACACATGTTGTGTGTGCACACGCACACACAGCAGAATGTATTGGTCTGTCGAAGAGGAGTTCACAGATGGTCTCTACATAGAGTTCCCCTCAGGAAACTTAAGCATGGGCAGGCTTTGAGGTTGGAAAAACAGAGTGCTCAGCTCACCTACTATAACATTCTGCACATGAAACTACACAGCCAGCAATACTTGCATCTGACCACAAACTTCTGGTGGGGTTACAACTTTGTTTCTTGAAGAGATGTAGCCAACCTTGAATCTTGCAAAGCACTCGCATTCAGCATCTCCTTTGCTTTGGAAGACAGCGTATGTGTTTTACAGTATGAGTTGCTACGCACGGTGTAACAGATACATCTGAAATGTAAAGTATAAAGTACTGTAGGCTGTTTTCACCTTGACTCATTTTGGAACAATCTGAAAACACAAATCCAATGCGAAGTGTGATGTACAGTACCACTGAGAGCTGCTGTTCCGTTTCAGTTTCAATATGAGGACGCAGCCACACAACAGCATGAATGACAGAAATAGCATTCACAGTAAGTTTCGTGTAACTTTTTGTTCCACTTCAGCCGGGCACTCCATCCTCACGCCAGGCAGGACGACAAGGCGAGAAGGGGGTAAAGACGGACCTCTCATTTACCCCTTGCTCCCACGCTGAAAACTACTTAGCGCAGTTGGGCAACCAGCAGCTGGTTTCCAAACACCCAGGGACAGATGCATCATCACAGGCAGCATCAGGCAGGCCAGATCTGACTATAGGACAGTATTTGAGCCTTCAGAGGGAAAATGATGTTGGAGAAATTCAGAAGACTTAAATGTCAGCTACAGAAGCTCTTTTTGTTATTAATTAACAAAATTCTTCCATGTTACCCATAAAGCATAATATGTGGTTC